GCGGGGGCGCGGGGGCGCGGGGGAGCGGGGTTCGGGAGCCCCAGGCTTCGCCCTCCGCGCGTGGGTAGCGACCCTGCAGGCGCCGTCAGCCGGCAGTGCACGGGTGCGCAGAGGACAAAATAATCCTTTGGTGAGCAGAGCTGGTGGGGCGGCACCCGCCCGCAAGGCCAGCACTGGGGAGGCTGAGGCAGGACGACCACTAAGACTCGAGGCCCGTCTGGTCCACACAGTGACACCTTGTCTCGAAAACACCAAACGAACAAAGAAGCAAACGCCAGGGTGGCCGTGGGACCTCTCCGCGGTGGGCTCTTCTTCCATCGTGTGGTAGGAGTCGCTGAAGATCAGCCCGTGTTAATGCCTGAGAAAGGATATTTTGGAAACTCAGAATCCTTAGCCACAGAGAAAGCACGGTCAAAACGATTAAGAAAATGTCACAATGTTCAGCGTGCTGTATTGTGTAGCATGTTGCCATTTTCTGTTTTATTTTTATTACTTATTCAGAAAACACAGAGGAAGTAAAATATCCATCTCTTCCTCAGAGCTCAGATTTGACTGCATAGCTAGTTTTTTTAAAATGCTAAGCCTATAGGATGAGGAGTAGGATAAATTTGGTTAATCTTAGCTCTGCGCTTAGTTTTCTTTTTAACTTTAGTTTTGACTTTGGACTAGGAAAGTGACCCTTGAGTATCAGCTCTTCATTCATTCAATTTTTTTTTTATTTTTTATTTTTTATTTTAGGGAAGGGTCTGCAGGGTGTTCATGGTCTCACTACTAGATCAGACTCATAGTGATCCACCTGTTTACAGCCTCCCAAGAGCTGGGATTACAGGTGTGTGCCACCACGTCCAGTCTCAATTGCCATCTCAGTGCACCCCCCGGGCCGGCCGACAGGGCAGGCCAGGGGACGTAACCCCTGTCCCCTGGACCTGCTTGTAGGCGCTTCAATCCAATGAGCAATTTGGCGGGCCCAAAAGTTGAGAAGGATTTTTTGTTTGTTTGACTTTTTTTGTTTTTGTTTTGTTTTGTTTTTTGTTTTTTGGACTGACTCAGGCTGTTTCAGGGCGGGTCTGGTATGGAACTTGCAGCTGGGCTTGACCCTAGTTCCGCTGTCTGACTTGGTTTCCCCATGCAGGCACTCAAACAACGGAGCCAACTGTTAAGCTCCCTTCAAAATTACTAGAGGAATCCAGTCCTTAGAGTTTATTATATATAGCAGAGTTTACTAACCTCTGATAATTATTTTAATGAATATTCTGTATCGCTACATAAGCCAGGAGATTTCCAAATCTTTGCAGTCAGATTCATGACACTGTGGCATAATTTTTTTCCCTTTGACTTTCTTTTCTCTTTGAAGAGTAGTGCCAAAATCAGTTATTCTCTTAACAGCATTCTTTTAAACTACCAGTCCTTATCAGATCTGTTATTATCAAATAGAAGCAAGTATGAGGGCGACAACCCTGACAGCGGAGAATTCCACCAACGGTACATTTTGAATGTTCTGCCAAAACCATAAATAAGCTTGACACTGTTAACAGCTGTAAGATATTGTGTGCTTTACCTATTTCGTTTCTCATTTCTTTTGTGAAAATGTCTGGTCTATAAATTCGGCAATCATAAGTTATAACAAAATGTAAAATTATTTTAAGTTTTACTCTAAAAACTGATCCGGTTATGGGGGAATGTCCCGCGCACTGACCTAACAAAGATAAACAAGGCGGCTGCAGATGAAAGGTCCTACACTTGGCTACGCTAATTAGACTGTGCGCACCACATGCACAAATCCTGAAGGAATTGCAAGAAGTGAATATTCCTTAGTGCCGGTGGTTAGGGAAGACCGCCCCAAAGCCAGGAAACCTGGAAGGAAGGGGCCATTTGGCTTGAAGAAGGCAGTGCTAGGATGATCTAAATGTGCACACCAGCAGCGCGATCTGGGGGCGGAAGGCGAACGGGGAGGGCATGCAAGGTGTTGGCTAAACATATTGCAAATGTTTAAGCATTTTTAAAAATGCATGACAGTAAAAGATGCATTACAGTAGCCTCCTGCAAAATACTTCCCCCACTTTGGAGATCCTCTTGTGACTATCGTGGTGTCCTGCACGAGTTGAAAATGTCCACGTTTCATGACCATTTTGACTTTGGAGAGAAGCAAGAAGCTGCACAGCTCAAGGTCAGAAGAATAGGGGAGCGAGGCCACCCCACGCTGCCAGCTGCTGTTCAGCGGATGCCACTGGGCCGCAGAGTTCACTGGAGTGCTCCTCACATCTCATAAAGCATTTATTAACAAAGATGCCCAGAACTGCTTCAGAGAGTGGCCAGAATGATGGCGTAAGTGTGTCCAAGGAAAGGGGGAGTGGCTTGAGGGGCTTTAATGGCAAAGGGACTTTTTTTTTTGCGGAACCGGGGATTGAACTCAGGACCTTACACTTGCCAGGGAAGTGCTTGTTCCACAGAGCCATCTCCCTAGCCCCCCAAAGCAACTTTTGATGCAATAGATTCATCTTAAATTTAAGCATTCTGCACATTTGCTGACTACCTCTTTATTCTCTGAAATGAAATTGAGACACTGAACTATCTTTAAAGTCCAAAACATGGGGGCAAACACGAGATAAAAGAATTATGGCTGCAGCTTTTGGGTCTGATAAGGTCAGTGAAATCCCCTCAGGATTTATCCTGAGATGGTGTACCTCAGATTGTAGAACCTTTGTCAGTGTCAGCCATGTGGATGAGTCACGGCCATTGCTTGGCCAATGTGCTCTCTGTGAAAGCCTGAGAGAATGTTTTCTCTCCATGTGACTCTCCTTAGGCACACTCTACATCATCAATCACTTTCCTCTTTGGCCCCATAATCTCCTTGATCAGAAAATTTGGGACACTACTGAGTTACATGACATTACAGTACAGGCTCTCATATGTCCTGAGTCTTAAGTGACCTTGTAAGGCTAGGGCCAAAATTTTGGCTTTCCTTGTGGCCCTCCTTTTTCTCTAATTTTGGTCTGCAAACTTAGGTTGTTAACCATCCAGAAGACAAACTTATTGCCACACAACTTAGGCTGTTAAGCTTAACCTCACTATCTGTCTGCATATCAAACATCTTAGGCATAATCTTTAAGGTATTTTTCATCAAGTATTGATATGTTGAACTTTAAGTCCCTAAGAATATGATGAAAAAACATTTAAAAATTAGAATATATATTAAAAATAGGCGTAAAGAATTATATACTTCTTATGTTCACACATAAGTCTAAAAATCTCACCATATACAACCTTGAAGCAGGAGAGTCCCACAATATTCCTTTTCCTGTCTCTTGCTTTCATTCACCATCCCCTTCTTCTTGAACAACCATCTACCTGAGAGACAGCATAGCAGCAACTGGCATGTCATGACAAGCAGCCCGTATTCAGAAGACCAGAATGACAGGCACTCCAAGCATGAAACTACTATTACAGATTAACATCTTCAGTACAGTTGCTTAGTTCACAGGTATCAGTATCTATAGTTACTCAGGGTGAGAATCTTTCCAATTAACTGCTAGATTAAAAAATCTTCTGAAGATTCTCAGGATCATTGCCTTGCCCATCTTCTACATATAACTGTATGGCTTGATGCACAGGTCCTGCTTTACCTTGGTCTTAACCATCCAGCAGAAAAGTATAAAAACAAAATATAAGTAAAGCCATGCTGTTATGTTGAGCTGTAGGGAACTCAGGTCAACAATTTCTCACATTGCCAGTCAAGTGGAAGACCCAATACTATTATGGACTACTGGACTCTTTTAGAATATTTTACTGAGTTTATACACTTATAATATTCAAATAATGGAACGTAACAGAAAAAGGGTATACAGATGAATGTCCATTTTGTATCTGTGTATTCAAAGTGGTTAGGATAGATATATAGTTACATTCTCTTAATGAATAGAATGATTTGTTCTAATGGTGTTTGTAAATAGGATCTCAAGTCCTCATCTTGTACAGCAATTAACCACTAGGAAGAAGGTATGCAATGTGTTAATTATTGAAACTGTCTTACCAATTTGGTTTGAAACTGTCTCATTGTTATTTGTTTCTCAATAAAATTATGGGAAAAAAGGAATTATGACTGCACAATTATATAATACTCACATATAAAAATATATCAGTTATATGTATATGTGCAGGAATAATCTCACATAGAATCCTATATCTATTAATTGGAGGTCTGTGTGGAGGAATCTAACATTGCAGTTTCTGTTTTCTCAGTATGGGCTCCAAGCATGGTGTAGACTTGTACTGTAAAGGCTATTCTCTGAGACACTTGGTGACAGGCCGTGTCACCAGCTGCACACAGAGCTGCTGTGGGAGGTGCTAGGTCCTGGGTTCACTCACTTTTCCCTCCTCTAAATTGTAGCGTAGCTGACAGCTTGTTTGGAATGTGAAGCCG